TGTTTCCGTCATTTTCTTATTCCTGTTGTCGACAATCATTGGTGACAGTGTTTCAGAATCATCGAGCAAGATATTCAAGATGCAAGCCATGGATTCGCATATGCCCGCTTTCTTCCTACGGTTGACCTGTTTGTTTCTCAACATGTTTGTTAACTTGTTGCTAGCTACTAATGCCAGCATGCAACATTTCTTAACAATGTCTGTCTGCAGCCAATGTATTCTCAAGGTATGAGTGTTTCATAATTAAAATTTTCATTGCTTCTCTGGTGTTGAGGACAAGACTGTTGTACGTTTGGTTTATGTTATTTCTACACAACTTTTCTTCGTTTACTTCGTTCATAGATCCTGATCAGAACGCTTATGATTCAGAACAAAAAGGAATAATATCACAGTTCGAAACTATCCGCTAGCAATGTTATATCGTTTACAAATGCAAGAGAGTTTGTTCATGCGTTTCTCCCTCTTACCACAGCCGAAACCTCTTGCTGATTGCTGATCAAAGTTAAGAAATTTTCGAACAGCAGAGGATATGCCACTTCTTCTTGTCTTACTTCATACTTTGCACAAAAAATCAGCTTCACCTCCCATCAACTCGCACTGCATCTGTGGGCAGATTATCATCGTCTTAATAATTGGAGTAGTTTTTTATAGAAATCTGCAATGCGGTTCAGTGGTGTTAATGAAATTAATGAAGATAGAAAAAGGGCAGATCACTATTTTCTTTTTCCATGTTATCCTATGGATAATATCAAACTAAAGCATTCTCCACCTGTTCCAGAACTGCGCATGTTCTTCACAAAAGGTTTTTCAAGTTGTTTCTGTTTATATCCATAATGATATGTATGAACTCTTTAGCACGGAAGGATAGTACAATTTTCTACTGTAACTGTGCGACCTCTCTTCTCAAATGTCAGAACCGCTACGGCTTACGTCCAGTCGTTCGAAATTTGCTCTTTCTTAAAGACCAATCCAAAGAGATCCATAGCGTTAGCACGCTGTCTCTTCCAGGCTCTTCACTTCACTCATGTTGTATCCCAACGATTGCTACGTCACTGTAGCTTATTTAAGCGGCGGAGCAGAAAACCAGTAGAACAATCTTTGGCTTTCCAAGCATAATATCACGGAAATAATTTTCATTCACAATTGCATTCATTGCAAGTCATTCAGGCTTACTTTTACATATCTTATCACATCTACAGCGTCTGACAAGAGAATGGGTAGTCATTTTTAAAAGTTGTCAGTGCAGCATTTTTCATGTCAAATCCATCAATTCTGTATACTGAATGTTTTGTTTAGATAAGTAAACATACCGCAGTAAATATGTCAAAACGTTCATGGCGTTTTGTCACTACAGCTGAGATTCTTGAATTGCGCTAAATTAACTGCATTCCCGACTTATCAGTACTATTTGCCGTTTTCATGACTATTACTTAGATTAATTTTGCAGTCGTTGCTGCGCATAACAAAAAGACTCCCAAAGTTGAGAACAGCTTTGTCCAAAAAAGAAAAAATATTTTTTATGCAGATCAGTAAAAAACCACCGAATTCAATAATTCAGAAACTAACCGCTCTACAATACAGACAAACTTTTCTGCTTTTCAGTAGTTTAGTCTGACGCTTGTGTAGAAAAGGTAGAACGAAATGTCAAATGCCTAATCAGTGGAATGTTT